GCTCTAAGTCCTCCTCTGATGCCCTGCCGGCACTGCTTCCGGCCATCCTTAAGCCTGGTTCAGGGTCCACTTAATGTGGACATGCTAGTTTGAATTAGCAAAATGCTAATTCGAACTAGTTTTTTAGTCTGGATCCGTTAGTTCGAATTAGCTTAGTTCGAATTAACTAATTCGAACTAAGTTAGTTCGAATTAACGTTGTAGTGTAGACATACCCTAACTGAGGAGTTATTTTGCAGAGCTGTTACACTTAACAATCAACAGGCATGCAAATGATTGTAAGATCCTGATAACTACATTATTGGAAAACACGGATTGTTAGATATCCCTTCAAAAGGGCAGCTTGTCAGCATTTCTTCATTAAAAGCAGTTTTTCAAGAAATCTCTTCTTGATGCTGACAATTTCATGAGCTAGTGCCCTCTATTTTTAGGGAAGGTTAGTTTTGAATGAGACAGTTTTGGCAATATCTACAGACCCCACATTTCTTAGACATTGCTCAATCTGGCTTCATTTCTCTCTAAAAACACAGTAGGAGCAGGTCTATCAGTAAACCCTACAACATAACAGCTTTGCTGGTGCAGTGCTTCACCAATGGGAGGGCTTCTCCCATTGGTGTAGGTACTTCACCTCTGCAAGAGGTGGTAACTGTTGAATGGGAGAAGCCCTCCATCAACACAATGCTGTCCACTCGGTGAGTTAGATCTATATATTTATGTTCCTCAGAGATGTGTGAGTGACCTAGTTATCATCTGTGAAGAGCAAAAGGCTGTAGGGTAAAGACTTAGATGAAATTAAAGATAGCTCAGTCCATCAGCCCTCTGTGTTTTGGCTGTCTGGAGTCTCAGGTGAGAATATGAAACCACAATGAGAATAAAAATGGGTTTCTTCAATTTCAGTAGCTTGGGAAATTGAAGCTACTCCTCAGCGTCTGTGTCCATGCACTGCAATTTATTGAGAGGCAGCTAATAATATGAAAGTTCAAATACTCAGTTGCTTTAAGGCAGCATCAACAAAATGTGAACTAGATAGGGAATTATTGAGGCATTACGGACGTAATTAGGTATTATTAATTCCTAGGTATTATCACCGAGATAAAACAGCAACTCACGCCTCCCATAAAATTAACAAAGAAAGAGTCCCTTCTAGGCAAAGTATAATGTTATTGTTTTACATTAGCATTTTGTAAAAAGGATGCTTAAAAGGCTGTTATGTTTGTAGGTGGAGAGATGGAACATATTAAAAACAATTGTTTTTGTTTTCCTTTTAAAGCCCTGTAATGGAAGTAATGTGCGTGAAAGGTCAACGGAGCTCCTAAGACAACCCGATGAAGGAAAGGCTTGCCCTGCCTCCACTGAGACAGAACCTTGCAGTCTGAACAAAAACTGTTACCACTATGATTACAATGTGACAGGTATTAGCTTTCTTATAATCTAACAATAGGCTGTAAAATATAAGAGCTGTACCTATTTTCACAATTTAGTACTTCAATAGCTAATCATTAATGTGTGGGTCAAGGTTGTTTTTTTTTTTTCTTGTTAGCACCTGGCTTTAAACTAGGGCTTATGATCCTTAATTCCTGATCCAACAGAATTACTTTAAAGAATCTGTTACACTCAGTCTTGATAAAGTTGCTCTCAGCATGTAGGAAAGAAGAGCTGGGTTGGCTAAGTGTAATGCTAACAGGTGGAACTGTACTGAAGACCTTTGGAGCTTAGTGTATGAGCCTCTGCCACTTGAGCTAAAAGTAAATTGGCTGTCAGCTAATGCTTAAGAGCAGATTCATTCTTTCTCTCTGTAAGTGGTTTAAGTGCTACTATATGGGTGGTACACCACACTCAATAGGTGTGTGGGTTGAATATCCTACAGCTCCTTCCCCCTAGAGTTGAAGTTATGGTCCGGACTCCTCTTTGCAGCTAACAATAGCCATCATTTCCAAGGTGTTTCTCTTGTTAGTGAGACTCTCTGCAGTAGTACTGAAACTGTGTTAATAATGAAGTGGGTTTTCTATGTAAGAAGAAATAAAATACCTATCATAGGCACCCAGTGTGCCCAAAGTATAGGTCTTTCTGCTTCCATATGTTATCTGATGTGGTTTGTACAGTCTATAGTGTAAATAGTCAAATTGTTTGATGACTCAAAGAAAAAGCCTATTTCTCTGGCCATTATATATATTTGACTTGCCCAAAAGCCATGCAGATAAATACGGTATTTGATTTTTCAGAAATACATTGTGTCACTTAGTACCTAACAATGGTTGTTTCCAATGTGTCCTGCTAATGGGCTCCATGAGCTTCTGAATATGTAAAAAAATATTCGGAGGGTATTTTTAGGCTATTTGAATTAAATGTATTATTCAAGTAATCAAAGCTTCATCAGAGATCAATTTCATTGACCTCCTGTCCTGATGGTCTTCTTTATTGCCAGACTGGAGTACGTGTCAGCTCAGTGAGAAGGCTGTCTGTGGTAATGGCATCAAAACAAGAATGCTAGATTGTGTTCGGAGTGATGGCAAATCAGTTGACCTGCGGTATTGTGAAGAGGTGAGTGGAGCTCTTTTCCCTTTGTGAGTAAACTCTTCCTAATAGCTTTAATTTATGCTGAACTGGCTGACCTGTGCTACATGTAGCCCATCTCTGACAGATGTTTCTCAACATTATTCATGGACCATTAAGTACCCCTTAGAATGAGGCTGTGTCATCACCTATGATTTCTTCATAAAAATTCCTCTGGTAGCATGTGTGCACCTACAAAGAGGTGCTGATTATATCCTAAAGGAAATGATTTCAGAACAATAAGCAATCATGGTGAATAAAGGTAATAGATCTTAATCAGACTGCAAATCATTCTAATTTGATGTGATTTCTGTGTAGTACCTTGGACAGCTGCCGATATCAATAATTTATTCAGTGTGTTGCTGAACATGTGCCATAATGCAGCCAGGCTGAGTGCTAGCTTCTTGCATCCAGCTGCGTAAGATGAGAGACATTCAAGCTGTGTGGAAAAAAACCTGCAGCATTAACAAGGAAATGGAACTTCTTACATAAGCGTGTGCAGTGGAGTAATATTCAGCAGATGGATCACGTTAATTTTATGTAACTGTTTCATGAATCTGTTTTTTAAATGACTGCTCAAGGCAGGTAACACTATTGCTTCAGTCATTTCATGGGCCTGTTAAAGAAAACTGCATCTATTAATGATTGATGCTATGCAGATCATACCATGAAGGACTATGTTAAAAATACACCAAGGTTTGCATTATGGCAAAAGCTCCCTAGGTGTTCCAACTGAAAGTGACTGAGGTTGCTTCAACTCCCTAATGAAACAGACATGAAACCACCCAGGAAGTAGGAGACTAGGGTCACCTGTGAAGAGACCATATGTCCTCCATAATAGCTCAATTATATCAGCACCCCTTCCCCTTCTCCAAAGATCTTCCCTTGGTTGCAGCTGTTTCTCAAGACTCCTCTTGAAGGAATTGAAGGTTGCCAGTGATGGAGGGAGCCATGAAAAGGTGATACATACATTATATTTGAGAGAAAATCTGCCAGACTGGTGCTATGTGTATCTCTCCTGACCTGCCCACTCCTGAACCCCCAAGTTCTAAGCAAAGGATGCTGCAGTGAAGGCCACTAACATGTCATTTCTTCTGTGCACAAAGATTTTCTTTTGCACGTAGATCTTGAGCAAGGGTGGACAAGTTACATCTCACGAGCCATATTCGGCCCACCAAGCCACCAGATCCAGCCCTTGGATAGCCTGCTGGGACTCTCGGGCATGCAGCAGCTGCTGATTTAAGTGCAGGTCTGCTCCATATGCCTCTCTGCTCTGGAGGAAGGGTAAGGCTTTATGTGATCATCCCACCTCCAGCCCAATCCTCAGCTCCTATTGTCCAGAAACAACTAGACAATAGGAACTGACCCCAGCCAATTGGCTGTAAACAACCAAACAATAGGAAATGAGTGATTGGCCTCGGGGATGGGGGCAGTGCAAGCCTCTTCCCCCTCTTGGATCTGAGAGTCACATGGAGGGAACAGCCTGCAGTTTTAAGCCATCTAGGGCTGCAGCAGGTAAGGAGCCCAGCCTGCTTTGGGAGTGCTGCAGGGCTGCTGGCTGGGAGACACTTAGGTAAGTGCCTCCCAGCCAGAGCCTACCTCTGGAACCTGTGCCCCTCACACACATCATCTCCTTTCCTCAGGTCACCAACCAAACCCTCTGCACCCCCCTGCTCTAGTCACAACTCCCTCCCCGACCCAGTACCCCCTCTTACGCCTCTCCCCGAGGCCAGAATTCTATCCTGCATCCATATCCCCTTCCTGATTCTTCACCACAATCCCTTGACCCAGGTCACAACCCCCTCCTTCATTCAAACTCCCTCTAAGATCTCACACCATCTCCTGCACCCCAATCCCTTACCATATGTGCCTTTCTGCACCGTCCTATACCCTATACCTTCTCCACAGACAAGTGCAGCCCTTGACTACTTTCCAAAATCTTGGAGTGGCCCCCCACCAAAAATTATTTCCCACCCCTGATCTTAAGAATATGATCAGGCCTAATAATGTGACCATTTTCATGCCAGAGTCTCAGGGCAAAAAAAATCAACCCTTGGATGTCTTCCAGCAAGCCCCGGTGAAGTTAATGAAAGCTGTCCTGTGCATTAGAAGACCGAATTTGGTGCTCAAGATATTTTTAGGCAACTACCATATTGATTTTTATATAATGAGACATGGCATATGTTATAGGTCTGTCCATGTGAACATTTCAACAGAAAATGCCTTTCATGAAACAATAAGTAAAGTAACAATGGATTTCTTTTTTCATAAAGCTGTAGTTCTGCATCCTGCATTATAGATATGTGTGTATGTATCTACAAACTGTGAATGTGAGCAGTAAGCAGAGCAAATTATTGTTACTTTGTAAATGGAGATTTCATTGTAGAAGACTTGAACAGCTTTCCCCTAATTAAAGGGTGGGTGCTTCCCTAGTTAGACAGCAAGGACAATGGAGGCAGCTGAATAACCATTTCAAAAATTTCTAGCCTTGAGTGGCTAGCCAGCCAGAAGTCCTGGCAGCTACACCATCATTTACCAACAATTGCAGCAATACAATCCTACTTTGGTGGAAGAGGGCAGCATACAATTAACCACTAGTTTTTTAATTCAAGAAACAGAGTGTATTCACATAGTCTGTATTTACAAAGCCCTGATCCACTAACAGACTTACCATTCAAGCCCTTCTATTTGTTACATTTTATTGATGTAAGAAGTGGTGCAGCAAGGTCAGTGACTAATCCAGTAACTGTAGGGTAAGACCTGTTTACCTGATTAACAGGAAAACCAAGCTGTCAGAATCTTACAAGACCTTTCATTATAGGGGAGTGAAAGTAAACTCCATGTCATCAGAAGTGGGATTTAAGAAATTACAAAATTTCTGAGTACTATATGCTTTTTGCTAATCTAATTAAAAGTATTCTCTCTTATATTTTTATAATATGTATTACAGACAATGTAGTAAACCATTTTTAATTTCATTCCTTTAAATATGTATGGTATGGTGGTACGTAGCAGACAGGTGTCTGTGTTTGAATAATATTGCAGATTCATTAGTTATACAAAACTCATTCTAGGTTTATTTACCGATACATCAAAATTGGTAACTCGGAAATTGTTTTTACTTAAGGTAGAAGCAGAGAACAGAGATTAGAATATCTATTGCTAATCTGATTTCTGATTTGTCTTATCATCAGCCAAAATGTTACAGCTGCATATAACTACATTATCCAAGAGCACAATAAAACCTTATTTTACACTTGCAGAGCTGTCCGCATTATATCCAGATGCAAGCTTATACTCAGTAAATTCTGAAATTCCATCCTGATGTTATGCCAGTGGTTACTGTCCTAAAGCAGTCTATATGATTTAACATTAGTTTCAATCAGCTAAAGAAGTTATCCAATGATCCTGATTACTGCCAAGATAAATCAATTTCCAGAGCTTATTGTCAAGTCTCATGTTTCTGTGAATACTCTCAGAGAACTCTCAGAGAACACTAGTAGTGGATCACTTGGTCACTACCTACTGTAAAATTGGTGTGTGACAGAACTCTTGCGGCATTTTCCTGGGGCTCTTTAAAATTCAAATCACCTAATTCAGGCTGCCCCCACCACACCCTTTTTACATACCTGTGAGTTTATTGTTACTCATTTTCTCACGGTTACAAATCAGAAGACTCTGGAGACAAGCATTTTGTCTGTATGCGGGCCACTGGTCAGCCTTACATGATAGATCTCCAGTTGAAAGCCGACAAACATCTCTTGTTGATAGCGTGGCCCCGCCCCCAGCGCGCTGCACACCTTACAGCTGCAATTAGGCACCCGGCGCCTGATGGCAGCTCTAAGGGGTGCTATGCGGCCCCCGGGTGCACGGCACCCCTTACAGCTGCCATCAGGCGCCTCCCCCCGTAGGTTGGCGCCCTGAGCAGCTGCCTGGCTAGCCCCCCCCTCCCCTTAAACGACCCTGAATACATATTCAGTACAACTTCAGTATTTGAAAATCATCAACAAGAAACCTCCTGTTATCCAACATTGGGCTATGTCCATTAGTATTTCCAGATAAGGGAAGTTTGTATATTCTTCCAAATGGTTAGCCAGCCATTATTTCCAGGTCCCAGAAGCTCAGAAGGACGTCTTCTACCAGAGAAAGGGAAGGAGAACAATGGATAAGTAGGAGAGAGTCACAGTCCTGATCACAAAGATCTTTTTGGCTTTCTCAGAGCTGGCTTTGCAGCATTTCAGCATACTAGTCTTGGGGAAGCCAGCCAACACTCTGTAATTTGGGCTCCGACTCTCTCCTTTGCTTCCCGCTGGGATATTGCTTTCTCTAGCTGCTGAAGTCCTGCTGAGCAGGCTAGCCTTGGGGAAGCCAGCCAGTTTTCTGTAATTGCACGGACTCGGCTCAGCAAGCTTTGAAGTCTGTGCTCAGAAGAACTGACCCTGTGTGCAAACTTCAAAGACTTATTGGCTAGTTTCCTGATTATCCAACTCTTGATTATCAAAAAGGTTTTCAGGTGTCCCCTGAGAGCTTTGGGTAATCAAGGTTACACTGCAACAGAGAGATACTAGGAATTCATTGGTTGATTCATAAAACAGAACAGAGGTCTCCTACCTCATTTGTCTCAGGAAATGACACTGCAAATGTAAAGTCTAATGCCACCGGTATGTCAGGGTCAGAAAGCTACCATATGTGCAGTATATTGATAGAGTGCTTGTTAATGTGTCTACGTGATGATCTGTGCTATATATTTGACTGCAAAAGAGTGTTTCTTATTTCTGTTGCAAAGTCTACTTGCTGGTTTTATGTTCCTATCTTTTGCAGTCATTATTATAATGTGTTTCAAATTGTCTAGGTATCTTAAGAGATTTTCTATTTTTTTTAATTATATAGCTTCTGATGGATAGATCCTTATCTGTAGCCTTTTGGACTCACAGTCAATAGACCCAGACCCTCAAAGGTATTTAGGCTTTTATCTTCCATTGTTTTCAATGAAAGTTAGGCTTTTAAATACCATTGTGGATCTGAGTCTGAAAGCCACAGATAAAATTCAGTCCACTGCAATAAAGGAAAGAATTTGTCCCACTGGGATGTTGCAGACCTCTTTGATATTAATATTATTTCCTATCAGGTTTCACATCTGCTGGATCTGTCCCTTTCACTCACACTGGAGTTTTGCAGGATGCAGAGGTTACTGTAGCCATATGACTAGTTCTGTTGTCATTTCCATTAATTCTATTGCTATATATTGTAATTTGGAATCTCTAGAGTCTCTCTTCTTTCTCCCAGAAAAGGAGACTGGTCATGACAGCCATATAACAATTATCATATACAGAGTAGCCCAATGTCTGTGACTCTGTAATGCTGAAATGCTGGATGTTCCCTCTGGGCGGCGCTGTTGCCTGAGTCACGTCCTTCTCCTCCCACTGTGGTGCTCGGCTGACTTCTGCACTGCTCAGCTGGGCCACCGCGGGGGAGCAAGCGGTGCAAGCGGCGGTTTGGGTCCCGCAGTCCCCATGCAGCACGGGTGCTGCATGGAGAGCGCGGGGCCCAAACAGCTGCTTGCACTGCTTGCTCTCCTGCAGCAGCCTGGCTGAGTGGTGCAGAAGTCAGCCGAGTGCCACGGCAGGAGGCGAAGGGGGGCCGGAGCGGTAATGTGCAGCGTGACTGGCTCTATGCCATTTGGGCTCCGCAGTCCCCCGAGTGAGAGGCAGCAGGGGAGGAGAAGAGAAAAAGAGAGACAGAGAGAGAGGCAGGAGGCAGAGGAGAGCTGGGGGGGTGGGGGAGGCAGTAGAAGGAGAAGAGAGAGAGAGATGGAGCGAGAGACCTGAAAATCTTGTTGTTATGATGGGCTAATTGGCTAGTTTCAATATAATAAGCTCCATCATGAAGAACTACCTACTCAGAACATAAAACTTCCTCTTCTGTGCCATTGTTAAGGAGGGATTATATGGTTCAACTGTTGCAGCTGGTGAATTTGAGCTGAATAGCACCTATGTACTATCTACTCCTGCATTCTTTGTCTAGTAGATTTGTAATACTGCTCCCTTATTCTTTTATTTTTGGCCAGTCTCTACATTAACATTTCAGAGCTGTATTCCTCCATCTTTGGGCCTGGATTCAGGAAATCATTCCTGTTTCTGAAGTGTGTTTAAGAACCTGCTTAAATCCCACTGAAGAAAATGGGATTCAGGTATTTGCTTAAGAGTTAAGCACAAGCTTAAATGCCCTTCTGAGCTAGGGCCCTAATGGATTAATATATTGTAGAGTTTTCTTTCTCTTTAATAATTACTACATCTTTAATCAAATGTGATTATCTCAAATTCACCCTGTTCTCAGTAGTATAGGCTAGGCTCGTGGGATAGACCACACTTTACACGCTAACAGTGGTGTTTCCTCTTTCAGCTTAGTTTGGAAAAAACATGGCAAATGAACACCTCCTGTGTGGTGGAATGTCCTGTGAACTGTCAGCTTTCTGACTGGTCTTCGTGGTCTGAGTGTTCTCAAACATGTGGCCTTACAGGTTAGTTGCTGTTCTTGGAATATATTTATGGCTGAGTTTTGTTTGTTTGTTTGTTTGTTTTTTAAGATCTGACACAACTCATATCAGTCTGCCAGGAATTTGAAGAATAGTTAGTTAGAAAGATAATGAGAAGGCCCTAAATCTGGCTTATATTGCTCAGGCAAATAGCAGGCTTCAATGAGGCTATACATGGTTTAAGTGAAAAGGTTTTGACCCACACTGAAAAAAATTCTGATTCAATTAATAGACATCAGATATGACAAATGATACATGTCTTTGTCTGAGAAGTTTACTACTGTGCATATTAGATATAGATGTCCAAATGATGAGAAAGATAGTTTGACAGCTCTCAAAATTATTGAGATAAGAAAAGCAAAGTCATACCACATGGCTCTTGAAAGTTAAACCTACCATAACACACTTCTTTTTTTTATACCCAGAAAAGAGGAGCTTTTGCTTTCAATAGGCTAATATTTAAACTTCATTGTATTGTTTTTATATAGAATATAAACATACAATAAAACAAATCACATATCAATACAAATACATGCATAAAATGGAAATAGCACATAAATAAAAAAATCACTGTCCATTATTTATAAAACCTGGGGGGAAAAAAAACAAGAAAACCTGAACCCAAACTGGTCATGCAGGACACCAATTATTAAAGTGATTAAACAGATAAATAAGTGAGACATAACATGATTATTGGGGTCCGCAATATACTAAAATGCTAAAGTACATAATAGTGTAACTAGAGATGCTCATATTTTTCTTATAGTTTCTATTTAATAAAGTCATTTTTCTGTTAATGGAGTAGTAGAGAGCTCATTAAACTGATCTGTATGTGTGAGGGATTTCCACTTTCTAAAATTATCTCTTTTGGCCTATAAAATAGTTACTGCTTCAATTTCTTAATGACAAGTGGAAATTCCAACTTCTCCAGCACCCCTAAAATACATAAGCTTGTAGAAAGAAAGATAGCAACACTTAAAAATTTTTGAGGGTACTGACTATGACACTCAGCAGCTCATCCATTGTTGACAATTATAAAGGATATGTGAAAGGTTGGCAGACAGCTGTTTGCATCTGTCTCAGCAGTCTGGCCTTAAATGAACATTCTAGGGTCTAATAGTACTTGTTTAATGTCTTTTTTTAGAAGAATTGCAAGGATAAAGAACGTGAAGTAACTTTCGCATAAAGCCAGATATCCACTCAGGTTTCTGCTGTGATAGTAAGGCTAAATTATTTTCCCCTTTTGTGTTTGAGACTGAGATTGAGAGGGCAAAACATTAAAACGCCTATATAATTCCTATATGGTTTTGTTTCCATTTTTCTTAACATGTTCTTCTAGAGGTGAGAGAGTTGAAAGAGACAAATTGTCTCTTATCCTTTCATGAATCCTTGAGTATAGCCTTTGAAGGAAGGCACTGTGGAAAGTGGTAGCTGATATGTATTACATACATAACCTAAGGAAGTTTGTCTCAGTTCAAGGAGACATAGCCATTTTAGCACTGATCAAGCTAGTGCATTAAAAACAGTGTAGCCATGGCAACACAAGTGGCATCAGTTCTAGTCACCCTGAGTACAACCTGTCAGACATCCTTGGCACATATTTAGGGCAACTACCTCTCTCCCCTTCCCTCCCCCCACTACTCATACTGCCTTGGTGCACCATATTTTTTAGCATGCTAATTTAATAGCTCGTATGAGTATTTCTCCTCAAGCCAGGAATCACACACCCAGCTTGAAATGTAAATACACAATGGCTGTGTCTACACTGGCACCCTTTTCTGGAAATGCTTAAAACGGAACAGTTTTTCCGTTATAAGTATTTCCAGAAAAGCGCGTCTACATTGGCAAGATGCTTTTCCGGAAAAGCACTTTTTCCGGAAAAGCGTCCGTGCCAATGTAGACGCACTTTTCCGCAAAAAAGCCCCGATCGTCATTTTCGCGATCGGGGCTTTTTTGTGGAAAAGACTGCTGTGCTGTCTACACTGGCCCTTTTCCGGAACAGTTTCTCCGGAAAAGGACTTTTGCCCGAACGGGAGCAGCATAGTTTTTCTGGAAAAACAATGACGATTTTACATTAGATCATCTTTGCTTTTCCGGAAAAGCAAGCGGCCAGTGTAGACAGCTCGCAGCTTATTCCGGAAAAGCAGCCGCTTTTCCAGAATAAGTGGCCCAGTGTAGACACAGCCAATATGTATACAGTTTTAACTACCCAGTCTTCAGGTACTTACTGATTCCCAGCTCTGCCTTCCTGTTTTTCCCTTTGATTTTCCATACACTCTGCTTTCTATCTCCCACCCCCCTTCTTTTTTCCTTTCTCCCTTCCCCTTCTCTCCTATTTATTGTGGGTCTGCACATCCTAAACTCATAACTCCGGTCATCTGAAGAAGTGGGCTGTGCCCACGAAAGCTTATGATGCCATCTACATGTTTTGTTAGTTTATAAAGTGCTACCAGACCATTTGTTGTTTTTTCCTGTGCAGACTAACTCAGCTACCCCCTGAAGCTTCTGTATTTATATGTACGTGGGTATCTACCCCCACGATATATTAAAAATAGCAATATGATTTTATGGATGTTGTGATTCCTAAATATATCTATTTGATATTGCTAACACAGAGGATGTTGTTATGTATGGAGGCAGACTCATTGTGTATGAAAATAAAATACATTTTAGGTAGGTTTCTGTATACAGTAAACATTGTGTTATCTGGTCCTTTACCATCTGGAAACCTCTATACAATGGCATTTGTAATCTTTGTAGAACGTCTGATTATAGTCTAGTTGGTGAAGAGCTAGCAGGCTCTTTACCTATTCCACATGGTTCCCAGGAAACAGCAATATATCCTTGCTGCTCCTAGGCAGAGGAACAGCCATGAGGGGTTCAGAGTACAGTAATGTGCTTGCAGCAAGGTGTTGGGGGACAAGGAAGGGTTTGGGTTGTCGAATCTGGGCAGGTGTTCTCACCATGGGCAGCTCTCGACAGGCGGCCACCTGACCCTGCTGCTTCTGGCAGAGGTACAGCTAGGTGGATTTATGCGCTGCCACAGGCAGCACCCTTATAGCACCTATTGGCCATGATTCCTGGCCGATAGGAGCTGCAAAACCAGTGCACAGGGTACAGCTAGGGCAATGTCTAGCCACACTTCCGCAGACAGGTGGGTTACCATTTGTGGAGAGCTGCCCAAGGTGTGTGCCTCTCAGATTCAGCAATCTGTAATTCCTTCTGTGCTCTGACCCCATACTGTGAGCCACCTCCCACCCCCAACCAGAATTTTTCACTTATTGGAACCCACCATTCCCTCAGCATGCCAGATAAAAAATGTTTTTACTGTAATAACAAACCCTAGAACATAATAGTCTGATTAATTCTTCTTCCAGCCACACTAATATAAGCCAATTAGCTTTTGGAAAAGTTTTGCACAGTGATTGCATCATAGGCTCTAACCCTGTAGGTCAGAATTCACTTTCTTTTGTCTGTGGTCCTCTAGCTGCAGGAGCTTCAGTTTCAAAATGATGAGGATCCACTGACAAACCATTTTATGCAAAAATTGTTTCTGAGGTGAAGTTTCTTTTCCTGAAGTGGGACAGAATATCAAATTACCCATTTCACTGAAGCTGAGAACAGGAATGCAGGCCAGCTACCACAGAGAGAGTCCAGCTGCTCTACCTTAAAGTGACACCCACACCCAACCTGCTTTCTGGAACCAGATCCAAGAGCTAGAGATGTGCTCCCTGTCTGGGACTTAGGGAGAGCCAGGGAGGCAGAGCACCCTGAAGCTTTGTTTGTGTACCCTAAAGCTAGGGGGAAAACAATGTTTGAGAAAAGTTGAATCAAATTTGTACAGGAATAATGAAACGTTTCATTCTGACACGTTGGCATTTTCTGAAAAATCTTAATTAAGCAGTTCTGTGCCCACTTTGGGGAGATTGCTACAGTTCATAGCATAGGCCAGTTACTGTAGGAGTAGCATTTGTTTCTTGATAGATGAGTACTGGGAATTACTTCCAAATTCATAGTAACAAATTTAATTAAAAATAGATAGGTGGCAGGGGATGTCCCATTTAATCCTATGAAGTTTTGAAGATCAGTATAGTGCATTGTGGCACATTACAAATCTGAATATATCAGGTAGGGTACTTAACTTTAATGTTATACTCTTTTTGCTTGGTGGTTGGTTGTGTTTTAACAGTGTTATGCATTTTGGGTCAATGCATGTATTTATTTGCATTGAAGTTAAAACCACACAAATATGCAGGTTTAATGGAACTTATTGCAAACCCCTAGCTATAGAGGAGCTACTAATGATCACAATGCATGATAAAAAAAAATTCTTGTGGCTTCGCTCTATCATCTGTCTCAGGGTGTGTCTACACTGCAGAGCTTAACTCAAAATAAGCTACGCCAATTTAGCTACAGCAATTGCATAGCTTAACTTGAAATAGCTGATTTCAAAATAGGGAGTGTCTACACAGCACTTACTTCAAAATAGAGCACTCTTCCGCTGACTTCCCTTGTTCCTCATACAATGAGGTTTACAGGAGTCGGAGTAAGAAGTCCTCCAGCTTGATAGTATTTTGACACTATTTTGAAATAACTCTAGTTATTTTGAAATAGTGTTGCAGTCTAGACATACCCTTAGTAATAAAGTCTAATATAAGCTTGGTATTCACCAAAGAAGAGAGAAACAGAATCAGCCAAAAAGTTGACTAAATACAAAGTCTTCATTCCATTATATAACTGCTTGAAATAGAATCTAGTCCTCAAACAGGCCTGAGTAGTATGTCACCCTCAATTGAACAGAAGATTAATGTCAGTTAAACCTATTATATTTTAATTTTATTTACATCTAGGTGAAATATGTTCTGTTCCTTTCAAATTCTCCATCATAATAAAACACAGGAAAACAAAGAAGATAAGTGGCAAGATCCCTCTGCTTTCTGAATTTAGACAACAAGCATCTTGTGAATCTGATACACTTGATCTTATACAAATTTAATACAAGGAATTTTTTATGGATTAGATATGTTTGTCATTCCTTCCTAGAAGCACTACTCCAGAACTTTGGAGAGCCAAAAGTTCCTCTCTCAACAGAGCTGCTTAGAACAAAGTATCAGATCAGGAAAGGATGCCTATTTTTTACCTGTATCTTAACCAGAGGGCTACGTCTACCCTGGTATGATTTTCCGAAAATGCTTTTAACTGAAAAGTTTTCCGTTAAAAGCATTTTCGGAAAAGCACGTCTAGATTGGCAGGATGCTTTTCCACAAAAGCACTTTTTGCAGAAAAGCGTCCGTGGCCAATCTAGACGCGGTTTTCCGCAAAAAAGCCCCGATTGCCATTTTTGCGATCGGGGCTTTTTTGCGGAAAACACTACTGTGCTGTCTACACTGGCCCTTTTGCACAAAAGTCTTTCAGAAAACGACTTTTGCCCGAATGGGAGCAGCATAGTATTTCCGGAAAAGCACTGACGATCTTACATGAGATCGTCAGTGCTTTTCCAGAAATTCAAGCGGCCAGTGTAGATAGCTGGCAAGTTTTTCCGCAAAAGCAGATGATTTTGCGGAAAAACTTGCCAGTCTAGACGCAGCCGAGAAGTATTATTTATATGCATTACAGCAGTAGCCTTATTCTCTAAGCAAGCATCTCATTGTGCTCGGACTAGTACATGCACATTGCAGAAAATAAGTATCTCTGAGAATTTACAATCCACACATCAAATAGGTCACAGCAGATTCACTGCGCAGTCCACTGCATTAGGTAAAAATAATGATAACATAAAGCTTGTCACAGACTGAAACAGGACCATTTTGATGAATAAATATATTTAACCACCTCACAGTTGCTCTTTCTCTCTCTCTCTTTTAAAGGAAAGATGATACGAAGGAGGACAGTAAATCAGCCTTTCCAAGGTGATGGGAGACCTTGTCCATCTCAGATAGAGCAATTCAAACCCTGCCCAGTAAAACCTTGTTATCGATGGCAGTATGGCCATTGGGCTGAATGCAAAGTTGAGGTAAAGGCAGAGATGGAGATTTGAAATTATTCCATTTGTTGCATCCAGCAATATTTGTGAAATATATGTATATAATCAACTTACAAAAATGGTTGTGTGTGTAACTATATATAACTGTGTGTGTGTGTGTATGTGTATGTGTATATATATATGTGTGTGTGTGTGTGTGTGTATATATATAATCATATATATACATATTTGTGATATGTACATATCAACTTACAAAATGGTTCAGACATTTTATCTAAATCTGTATATTCGAGAGCATCAAGTGACTGCCATTGGAGTCCATAAATGCCATGCCAACAAGTACCACTGTTTGCCCTAGTTATTCCTGTTCAAAGTATAGAGAAAAATTCTGGCATAACACTGTGGTAACTTAAATGGTTTGACACCAGCCTATCTGGGAAAAAGCTCTGTCCAGAAAAGGTTTTCACTGACGATATTGCCACAGTTTTAATTAGTATAAATGTTCAAACTGTAGCTCCCCTGGTTCTAAAAAGGAGGAACCAGCAGAGCATTCTCTGGGAAGGGACTATGGGTCTGTCACTTGCTTCTCTGAAATAGTCTGAATGATTAATTGTTGTTGTCTTGTTAGGAGTTGAGGAGGGCATTGATGGGGGTTTTGTGGGAGAGTTTGTACATGCTGAGGTACAATGCAGACCAATGGGGCTGGGGGAGGGGCAGTGTCACTTCTGTTTTGAACCCGTGAGTGTGTCTCAATGTCTTGCTAAATTAGCTCCCACCTGGGTCGCTTACAAACAACCTCCAACTATTCAAGTTGAACCCTGTCCCTAAGTGTCTGTGTGTAATTGCAACCTGCCATCCACACTTGGATTGCACTCTGACTTTTACTATTCTTGGTTATTATGCACAGTGACCAGTGTTCCCTCTAACATTTTCTATCCTTGGGCATGTTGAATTTTCTTTTGGGTGGGTTGAAATGTCATATGTGCAATGCCAGTATTGAGGTTAGTTGTGGATGTGCACCACCAACACAAATAAACATATTTTTGTCTGTATTACTGGTGCACATCCACACGCTACCTCAATATTGGCATTGCACATAAGAAATATATGTTGTTTATATGTCTTTATTTATATATATACACACACACACACACACACACAACATTTAAACAGTCCATAGGTGTGAAGAAAATATATTAAAACAAGGGGCAGTTAACAAGGAGCAATGCTTATGATATTTAATATGAAATTAAATAAAAAGAAAATTAACACTACCTTTGTAGTACACGTATCACCTTCCTTTCTAATAACTCAAGTTAGTAAACATACCACACATAGTTCAGCTTTAAGATGCTAAACAAATCTATGATTTAATTAGAAATAGTCATTCTTTCATAGCAAATGCTAATACAATATTTAATGACACCGGGAAAGAGAATAAAAGACGTTTACTCAAGCTTATACAGTTTCTCTGGAGAATGTTTAGGATCCATGCTATACAAGAACAAGTGAAACAGAGACCTGAAAAAAACAGATAAAAGTTTTCATGGTTTGAAACTTTCACCTTGTGTGTGTCATCAGCTCAAAGAGTAGAAACCCCAGAGAAAATTAACACATGGCTTCAGGTTTTGTAGACAGATGCATGTTTCAAAGAGCTTGCAAATAAGGCCTTGTCCTACAAAACATCTAACACCATCCCTAGTATTTGCAGCTTCTGAGTCATAAGAGCCAGAACTCTACCACACAGCAAAGATCTGGCCTTAATGCAATAGAATTTTACCATGTATTAATTAGTAACGCAGGATTTTTAAAAAATCATTAAGATCAAGATTTAAATATCTGCAATACTCCAAAAAATTCTGTTAAAAGAATATTTTTCTTTCTTACCTAAGCCATTAACACCTGTGTAAACTTTGTTTGAAATGTAATCATGCAAATGTCTTGGCGCACGCACACACACACACACACAAAAATGCAGCCTACTTTCCTCTCCTTTTCCCTCATCCCCACACCAACCCAACCGGACAGAGAGAACTGCAATCAGGACTGCAGCAAAAAAGTCAGAAAGACACCCCAAACAAACTCACCTTCACCTCACTGAACAGATGCCACCCACCCACTTCTTCCACCTACAACTTTGCAATCTGCTCCCCCCAGCCCAGCTGGGGCTGGGATAAAATCCTGCTTTTCAGACGTGCAGGCACCAGCAGTCTAGGTAGGAGTTAGGACAGGATAGCTAGCACTAACAAACTCTCTATCCCTCTTCCACTTCACCCCAGGACACATAGCACAAACTCCCCCTTGCCTCCCCCTCACCCCAATGCCAGCACTCACCCTCCCTTTCCTCTACCTACCTCATGCCATCAACTCCCCTCCACCTCCCTTCCCATCCCAGGAGGTTTGAGGAAAGTGCTGGGTTTCCGCCTCTACTTCCACTCTTAGCACAGATGAGACTCTCCAAACTTCTTGCCTCCTCTCCCTCAACTACTTATTCCCTCCTTCCCTCCTCCTTATTTCTCCTACCTACCTGCTCTTTGAGTTCCTCCCTCTGAAGCAGGCAGCTCCATTTGAAGCTGCTCAGATGACTCTTCCTCCAGCCCGTAAACTGAGCTCCTTGCCTGCACAGGAGTTCTGAGGTTCTGAGAAGGGATCAGTAAATAGCTCTGCAGTTGTGCAGCCGTGCACCTTACAAGGACTTAGATGGTGATCACAACATGATTACTCTGGGATTTTCCACAAAAAAATGTGTGTGTTGTACTGGTCAGCACTCTCCCGGACAGTCAAAATATACCAAATTCATCATTCCTTTAATATAATATTAAGAAGTGTATTTAGAGTTACACAGACACTTAAGGATTATATAAAACATTAAAAGAAATTTTTAAAGTACAGAGAGAGAGAGCTTTCAAGTGAGTACAAGAAATGAGGCACACAAGTCAGAAATGGTTACAAAAATAAAGACAAAATGCTTTCTATTGCCTAACAAACTATATTTGATTCAAGCAAAGTTTCTCACCACATGCTTCTAAAAGCATTACTGACCAAATTCTTCAAGTTGGGGGCCCTCCCTCAGAGTCCAGTGGCTGTTTTCTGTGTGTTCTGAAGTGCAAAAATGAGGTTGGCAGGGAAAAAGAAAGATAAGGGTATTTAGGGGGTGTTTTCCCCTTGTTTTTATTGTTTTTAATCCCTCTTTAAAAATAATTTCCCAGCTAAGACAGGCCATCAGCTGAAGGAAGGAGCATTCCCTGCTGGGCTTTTTCACCTGTGTGAACTATATGTTTTTTCCTGCCCCCCCCCCCCCTTTCTGCTTGATGACTCTGTTTAGTACTTAAATGCAAATTAAGAAAAGCATACACTCTTTTGTTCAACACAGGTTTGTTTGAGCATGTTAGTGCTGAAAGAATATATATTTTAACATAATAAAGGGGAAATATATAACTTCACGAATAAAGTTGCTTAACACATTATACCATATGATATTACTGCTCAGCAAGTTAAGAGTTTTAATGATACCTCATAAAGCATACCTTGTAAAAAGTTTAGTATAGTGTGTAGGGTGTGAACACGGGTGTGAATATGGTCATCCCAGTGCGATAAGGTATTTTTATCTTGTTTCAATTTACTGGATGATTAATTTGATTTTGTTGTGTGTAAGTCATTCTGCTGTAGCTAATTCCTTGTAATGACTGATGATTTAAATAACTTGAATCATTATTACTGTTTATTATTTCAGTTTAAATAATTGGGCAAATACTAATTATTCTTTTAATGACAACCA